CCATGAGAAAATGAGGGATGGGGATATGAACCCAATGTAAAATAAATAAATCAATTAAAAAAAAGGTTTTGAAGATGTAGTCTTAGGCTCTTATGGAATATATACTGTAGCTTGCAAACTTCTTGAAGAAGACATTAAACCCTGTAAACATTATTAGTTATTCATTATATCAGTATCAACAGACTATGGCAATACGCCCAAAGTATCTAGCGATGCCATCTGTAACCTTTTGCAAGATGTATTGGACTTGGTGTAGTACAGAGAAGATGCTTTCAAGATGTCTCCACAAACTCCTAAAAGTAAACTTTACCTCCTTCCATGGCTTTTGTTGATATTCATTACTAAGTTATCTCTGTCTCTCTGTGAGTTTGTCTCTGTATCTCTCTCTCTCTCTCTCTCTCTCTCTCTGTGTGTGTGTGTGTGTGTGTGTGTGTGTATTTGCTGAAAATGAAGTCCCTACGTAAATGAACCCAAGAAGAGATAGCTCAATTCAGTGGTCAGTAAGCCAAATTAAAGGTACTAATCTAATTAATAAATAAGAAAGTACATGTTAAACCCCAGAATAGATGCTATTCATGAAGCAAATAATGTTTTACCTATATTTTGCATTAATAAAGAGTAACATTGTCAACAGCATTCATCAATACTTCAACTACTTCAAATATTAATTTTAAATATCCACTATACAAATGAGTGAGTACTTTAAGTTTCAATAATTCTATTCCTAAATATGTGGCCAAGAGAACATGTACATACATACACTAAAAGACCTAAAACATGCACAGCAACACCATTTCTATTGCAGACAACTAGCAGAAACTGAGCCATCTATTAACAATACTGCTTATAACTAAGCTATGAAGTGGTCACATGTATTCCATGCTGTATAGTACTGGTCCTCAAATGTCAATTTGAATTAACTTTAAAAGTGATATTGTTAAGTTTTTAGGCTTTTGGTCTTCATTCCCACAATTTGTGATTCAGAGGATCTGAATAAAACCTGAGAATTATATATTTAGAAATCTGGTTACCTGTTTCTTGTAATGCAACACAATGCATATATTTATACAGGAAGAACTGCACTCACATCTGTATTAAGTAATATGACCCTGAGTCTCAGCATCTGCTTCGATCCCCTTTTGGGTGAATCCTTTTAGAAGATCCTTTATAGTAGACTCCCATCCTGTTCCCTCTCTTCCACTGCTTCTGGTGTCTATCCTGCTTGCGGTTCTGAATGAGATTTAAGCATCCTCCCTAGGGTCCTCCTTAGTGTTTAGCTTCTTTAGTTCTGTAGATGGCTGTCCTATATTATACAGCTAACATCTGCTTATTAGTGAATGTATATCATGCCTGTCTTTCTGTTTCTGGGTTATCTCACTCAGGACGATCTCTTCTAGTTCCACCCATTTGCCTGCAAATTTCATGATTTCGTTGTTTTAAATAGCTGAGTAGTATTCCGTTATGTATCCAAACTTTGGGCACAGCACAAGGAGTCTTATGGAGGAAGAGAGGTGCGGAATTAGAGGGTCATGGAGGGGGCAGGAGTCCCACAAGGAGATCAACAAAACTGAGAGATCTGAGCCCACAGATCCCGCAGAGAATGATGCACCCATGGAGGACCATACCTAGAGAGGAAGTAGACCCCCTGCTCAGATGTGGCCAATTGGCAGCTCAGTCTCCATGTGGATCTCTGAGTGAGGAGATGAGGGGTTGCATCTATCATGAACTCAGTTGATTGCTCTCTGATCACTTGCCCCTGAAGATGCAGCCTTGCCAGGCCATGGAAGAAGAGGATTCAAGCAGTCCTGATGAGACTTTACAAGCTATGGGCAGAGAGCAATAGTGGAGAACTCCCCATTTCAGTAGACTATGGGAAGGAGATGAGGAGAAGAGGGAGGGAGGGTGAGACTGGGGGAGTTGAGGGAGGGGGCTTCAATTGGGATATATAATGCATAAATTGTGAAGAAAAAAATTAACAAAAGAAGTATGACAATAAATTACAAAATATACACAGTTTATAATTACAAGAAAAATAGTCAAAGTAACTTCTGGTGAAAATACAAATGTTACTGACTAAAAGTTTACTGTAACTGAACTTTTGGAGCAATGACAATATAAAACATGTACTGATTAATTTGTGGAATTTTATATGCTTATTAATTCATATAAGTTTCAATCAATCTGTTCTGGTACTATTTGAACACAAATTCTTTAAAATTAATTGAATGACAAGTGAAAGAGTTAAGAATGAGAGAAATGTATGACAGTGATTCAGGCATAGTGTACAATATCTTTCTTCATAATAGATGTCTAAAGCGTCTATAGAGGCTACACCTGAAGAAAAGAAAGAAAATGAGACAATGGACTTGTTGAGCCATGCCTACCAATACGGTTGAGTCTGCCTATCAATACTCACTCTAGTAAGGGAACTAGTGATGGGGTAACTACACGGTGAAACGTCAGGGAATGTATAGCTGAAGGATTGCCCTTTTCTTGTTTGTTTCCTATGTTGTACTTGCTGAATGCCTATGTTACTGCTGAAACATATTGAGCTTATGTGCACTGTTCAAACTGTATTTCACTTTAACTGGAAAGGAAATAACATTCCTGTTTATGTCAATGACCCAGATATTAGGTGTCTTCACTTCTAATATGGTCAGATGATAATTAATGTACTGACACTCAGGCCTTCCATGACTAAATTATAACCACTTATCATTCAAAGTTAAATGAATGGCCTTTACATTTCCTACACAAAACCTGGCAGAATTTTGCATTATTTTTCTGTCTCTAATTGCAATTCTTAATTATGGTCCATAGAAATGTAGCTAGGTTTGTTTGTTTTTTCTTTTTTTTTTTTTCCGCTGGTTATACTTGGAAACTTCATAATCTTGTGATTGACTTGCTACTCTATTTTTGCTTTAAAAATTGACTTACATACCCTCAAGTTAAAAAAAAAAAACAGGGATAACTGCAGCAAACCTTGGGGTTGGCTTGGCCTAGCTGTCTTGAAAGGCATGCATCATAGGTCTTTCAGGTTAAAGTCCATGAGTCCTGGGACATGTACCTTCAAGCTCTTGAGAAAACGGTGCACTTTCTCAGGCAGTGAAGCACGCAGGACTCTCTGCCTTTATTTTTTTATTCCTTTTATTTATTATTAATTACAGTTTATTCATTTTGTATTCCAGCTGTAGTTCCTTCCCTCATCCCCTCCCAAATCTACCTTCCCTTCCTCATCTCCTCCCATGTCCCTACCAAAGTACAATCCTCCCCTTCCATCTGATGCTAGCCTATCAAGTCTCTTCAGAACTGGTTGTATTGTCTTCCTTTGTGGTCTGGTAAGGATATTCCTCCCTCAGGGGAAGGTGATCAAAGAGCCAGCCACTAAGTTCATGTCAGAGACAGTCCCTGTTCCCATTACTAGGGTACCCACTTGGACACTGAGCTGCCATGGGCTACATCTGTGCAGGGGTTTTAGGTTATTTCCATGCATGGTCCTTGGATGGAGTATCAGCCTCAGAAAAGATCCCTGGGCCCAGATATTTGGTTGTGCTGCTCTCCTTGTGGAGCTCCTGTCTTTCTCTCTCCCCTTCTTTCATAAGATTCCCTGCACTCTGCTCAAAGTTTGGTTATGAGTCTCAGCATCTGCTCTGATACTTTGCTAGGTAGAGTCTTTCAGAGGGCCTGTGTGGTAGGCTCATGTCCTGTTCTCCATTTTCTCCCTCTTCCAATGTCCATCCCGATGTTCTGAGTGAGGATTGATCATCTTACCCAGGTTCTTCCTTGTTGCTTAGCTTCTTTTGATGTTCAGATCTTAGTATGTTTATCCTATATTACATGTCTAATATCCACTTATAAGTGAGCATATACCATGTGTGTCTTTCTGCTTCTGGGTTTCTCTCTATATGTTTCCTAGTAGTCAAGGAAGCACGAAAACTTGTCAGAATAACTGCTCTGAGACATTAATCATGTGTACCCTGTGTAGCTTGCAAACGTCTTTGTGTCCTGGAACCTAAAACTGTATTGATCCTGGATATTTACATTGTATTCTGTTTCCAACAAATGTATAAAAAGTCTGACTGCTCTCAATAAAATTTCTACTGACTCAGTTCTGCTGCAGCCCCTATAACCTAGCCAGATTTAATTCCTTGTGACCATATCAGGTTATTGGCCTGGAAAGTGAGTGTGGACTCTCTCTCTACACACACACACACACACACACACACACACACACACACATGCACACACACGTTTTCTCTTCATCCTTTTATCTCATTTACAATATGAAAAGATTGAATGAAAATATTTCAAATTCTTCTTTGATCTCTCCTTCTCTCTCTCTCTCTCTCTCTCTGTGTGTGTGTGTGTGTGTGTGTGTGTGTGTGTGTGTGAATATCAGGGCACAGGGGTCTTTTATGAGACTGTTTCTCCAACCAAGGAGCATGTATGGATATAACTGAGAACCCCTGCTCAGATGTAGCCGATGGTAGCTCAGTATCCAAGTGGGTTCCCCAGTAAGGGGAACAGGGAGTATTTCTGACATGAACTCAATGGCTGGCTCTTTGACCTCCCTTCCCCTCCCCTGAAGGAGGAGCAGCCTTGCTAGGCCACAGAGAAGGACATTGCAGCCAGTCCTGAAGATACCTGATAAGCTAGGGTCAGATGAAAGGGGAGGAGGACCTCCCCTATCAGTGGACTTGGAAAGGGATAGGGAGAAGATGAGGGAGGGAGGGTGTGGGATTGGTAGGGAATGAGGGAAGAGGCTTCGAGTGGGATACAAAGTAAATAACCCGTGATTAATATTAAAAATTAAATTATTAAAAAACATTTAAATGCAAAAAGCCAAGAATTTGCGTGACAGAAAGAGAAAGGAATATATAGGTTCTTTTAGAGGGAGAAAATGGAAGGTGGAAATGACATAATTATATTCTAATCTCAAGAAAATTTTAAAAGAACAAAAAGAAACAAAACACAAAGAGAGATTACTTTTCATTTGCTACCTTGCAGTCATTTTTCCAAAATGAGGAAGGAAGAAGCTGAGCAGGCAGATGTGTTTTCACTAGTCGAGGAGACTGCATGTTTCTCAACAGTTCAACCCCTACAAACATACACAATAACAAACTGCATTGTGTCATAAGTTTAGAACTACACGGGTTACTTTCAACTTATCCTAAGAGCTTCTAACTATTATTCTAACCATTAATAGCTTGGTAAAGTTTTTATTTTATCTATCTATCTATCTATCTATCTATCTATCTATCTATCTATCTATTTGTTTTACTTTTTTGGCTCTATAGATCAACAACTTCATATATTTCTAAAATCTTAGAGAACAACTTTCAAAAGTCATGGTTAAAGGGGCTATCTTATTCTCTGTAAGTTTTATGGTATAATGATATCTACATATCTGTAAAAACAGTTCCTCATTTGTAACACAAGATGAACAGCTGTTTGAACCAGTTTCCAGGTTTTTTCTTCATCTTTTATCTCATTTAAAATATGAAAAGATTGAATGAAAATATTTCATTTTCCTCTATTCAAACTCTATGATGAAATTATGTCATAATATTCATTTGAATTTTTCAAGATTTTAAATAATCTTAAGAAATGTATATATTATTTTATATTTCACTGAATTTATATATACAAATATAAACTAACTAATCAGATATAATGCACTAATTAAATAATAAAGACCTCCATATATTAAGAAATTTAATCTAGATCAAGATGTTCCCATATATTGATGACAACTTTGAGTAACCGAATTTTAACTTCTACTTTAGATACTTACGATTTCATAGTGCTTGATCTTTCTGTATTACTGATGTTCCTACTCCTGCACACATACTAAGAATGCAGGTAAGTATATTTCTATAGCAAAAAGGACTATTAATAAAAAAAAATACCGCTTGATAATCCGGGAACTATAAGCTCCATGAAGGGTACTCGTTTGTAGATTGCATCCCGTTTACATTTCTCTACATCCCCATTGTTATAGATCAAATCCAGTATTTCACTGGTCCAAGTTGTTCCTAAGAAGGCAATGGGAAAAATTAAATACCTCTGTCAAAAATAAAATGAGACAGTCAAGAGAGGTAGAGGTGTTTTATAATACCTGAAACAAACAAACATCCCTGTGGGTTTTATTTTCACACCCATTCTTCTACTCCCTCCCAGGAAATAATCTTATCTATCAAGAATATATGCATATCTATTACATAACCTATAACTACAGCAGCCTCCAAAGGTAGACAAAACAAGTAATGGCAGCATACTCTTTGTCCTCCATAATATCCCTAGTTGAAGTCATTTCATTTAAATCAAAATATTCTAAAAATAATGTTCATAGCAGCTTTATTTGTAATAGCCAGAACCTGGAAACAACCCAGATGTCTATCGACGGAGCAATGGATACAGAAATTGTGGTACTTTTACACAATGGAATACTACTCAGCAATTAAAAACAAGGAAATCATGAAATTTGCAGGCAAATGATGGGATCTAGAAAAGATCATTCTGAGTGAGGTATCCCAGAAGGAGAAAGACACACACAGTATAAACTCACTTATAAGGAGGTACTAGATCTATAAGTTAAGATAAACATACTGAAATATGTACACCAAACGAAGATAAACAAGAAAGAGGACCCGGGGTAAGATGATAAATCCTTATTTAGAAAAACAAATGGGATGGACATTGGATGTAGGCGAAAACAAGTAACAGGACAGGAGCCTACCACAGAGTGCCTCTGAAAGACTCTACCTAGCAGTGTATCAAAGCAGATACTGAGATTCATAACCAAACCTTCAGCAGAGTGCAGGGAATCATTTGAAAGAAGGGGGAATAAGTATGACTTGGAGAGGACAGGAGCTCCACAAGAACCAAATATATATGGGCACAGGGGTCTTTTATGAGACTGTATCTCCAACCAAGGAACTTGTATGGATATAACTGAGAACCCCTGCTCAGATGTAGCACATGGTAGCTCAGTATCCAAGTGGGCACCCTAGTAAGGGGAACAGGGATTGTTTCTGACATGAAATCATGGCTGGCTCTTTGACCTCCACCCCCTGCCCCGAGGGAGGAGCAGCCTTGCTAAGCCACAGAGGAGGACAATGCAGCCAGTCCTGAAGATACCTGATAAGCTAGGATCAGATGGAAGGGGAGGAGGACCTCCCCTATAAGTGGACTTGGAAAGGGGTGGGGAGGAGATGAGGGAGGGAGTGTGGGACGGGGAGGGAATGAGGGAACAGGCTACAGCTGGGATACAAAGTTAATAAACTGTAACCAATATTAAAAAATAAAAATTTAATAAAAGAAAAAAATAATTTCGGTTGTACCACAAGTAGGATGACCCAAAACTTTGGTAAATTATCAAGTTATATATTTCCTATCAATATAAAAGGTATTAGAGCTTAGAATTGGAGAGAATGTCAGATAAGATGGTTGACATAAAATGAAGGTGTAAAAAGATAACACAAGAACTTTTGCCTGGAAAAATCAAGATGCTATAATACAATAGAGTGCATTTGAGCTCAGTACAGTGATTCACTCTGACAAGTATAAAATTATGTCTCACCAGTCCTTTCAAAAAGTACCAAACTCATTTGAGAACATTGTCAATTCAATTGCCTATGCCCTTTATCAGGTGAGTGAAACATTTCTATTGAAAGAATATGATAAAAAAAAATATGTTCCTAGTTGTTCTCATAATAGTAACTGAAACACTGAAATATATTATTTAATTAACTTATGCATGTATCACTTAATGAATGAATGTCTGCATTTTTAGATTGTTTCCAGATATTAGAAATGATAAATATGTATGACAACATTATGATTAAACCCAACATTTTGTCTTGTAAATTTAAATAAAATGAAAGTAAATGAGAGAGAAAAAAATATTGGCCCAAATCGCCTTGTTTTTCATACCTTATGTATGAAAGGTATGAAATAGTACGTATTTCAGGTATGAAAGGTACGTATAGTTCATTTGTTCACTTTTTAAGACCCTGTACTCATATGGGGTTTGTTTGATCTTGGCAGATCGTAATATCCCAAATTCAATTTATTGTTTTTTCCCTTAGGAAATTAAATAGAAATATAGAGGACAGTTGTTATTAGAGTATTTATTGATTAGGAAGTTTGATGAATTTTCTTGGGTTCAAGTAAATTGGTAGATTAGTGCTGGGATTTCAGAAGTGGGTGTGAAGTGATATGGTCTGAGGCAACATTGCCCCAGCAAGTGCAATGCTCCCTTAACATGTTTTTTTAAAAAATCACCTTAGACTAGACAAGTATCTTCAGGTAATCAGTTCCTGAGTATGGGTCATTACCTGTCTAGAGTAAAAAAATTAAAAGTTCTTACCAGATTTGGGATAGGTGGAGATCAAAAGATCATCAGGTCGAGCCTCAAATGACTCCACTTGGGACCACTCCTCAGCAATGCTCCAAAAGAGAGGGATGCCTTGAACATCCACAAGATCCCTCCTGAAGACATCAAGCTTGTCCATTTGTAGAGACTAGATTTTTAACAAAAAAAAAATCATCAATCAACTGTAAAATGTCACTACATCTACTAGAACAAGAAGTGGGGAAGAGCTTTAAACTTGTTAGTACAGGAGACAAATTCATGAGCAGAACACCAATAGCTCAGGCTCTAAGATCAACAATCAATAAATGTGACACTATCAACAGAAAAAAAAAATAGCCTACAGACGGCGAAAAGATCTTCACTAACCCTATATTCAACAGAAGGCTAATATCCAGAATATATGAAGAACTCAAGAAATTAAACACCAACAAATGAAATAATCCAATTAAAAATGGGATACAGAGCTAAACGGAATTCTCAAGAGAAGGATTTTGAATGACAGAGAAACACTTAAAGAAATGCTCAATGTCCTTAGTCATTAGAAAATAACCTAGAACCCTGACAATGCAGCCACTTCTGATGAGAACGGATAGACTAAGATCAGAAAGAAGGAGAGGAGGACCTCCCCTCTCAGTTGAATTGGGGAGGGGCATGCATGCAGAAAGGGGGAGAGGGTGGGACCAGGAGGGTAGGAGAGAGGGGCTTATGGGGGGAAAAGAACACTTTGCCCACATTTTTTGGTTCTGTTGCTCTTGTGGAACTCCTGTCCCCTCCAGATCTTTCTATCTCCCCCTTCTTTCATAAAATTCCCTGCACTCTGCTCAAAGTTTGGCTATGAGTCTCAGCATCTGCTTTGATACACTGCTAGGTAGAGTCTTTCAGAGGCCCTCTATGGTAGGCTCCTGTCCTGTTACTTGTTTTCTTCTACTTCCAATGTCTATCCCATTTGTCTTCCAAAGTGAAAATTGATCATCTTACCCCAGGTCCTCTTTCTTGTTTATCTTCTTTAGGTGTGCAGATTTTAGTATGTTTATCCTATCTTATAAGTCTAGTATCCATTTATAAGTGAGTATATACCATGTGTGTCTTTCTGCTTCTGGGATATCTCACTCAGGATAATCTTTTCTAGATCCCACCATTTTTCTGCAAATTTCATAATTCCTTGTTTGTAAATGAGTAGTATTCCATTGTGTAAAAGTATCACAATTTCTGTATCCATCCCTCCATTGAGGGTCATCTGGGTTGTTTTGGATATATGCTTAAGTGTAATATAGCTGGATCTTGGGGAAGCACTATTCCTAATTGTCTGAGAAAGTGCCAGATTGATTTTCATATTGGTTGTACAATATGAAAGTTTACATTCCCACCAGCAATGGATGAGGGTTCACAAGGGGAATCTTAAATTCCATCCTCAGAACTTTCTTTAAAGAAATGGTAGAATTTTATTTAGAACAAGACAGTTTGCCTGTAGGTTCTATTGTGTTAAATATTTTAAAGTTATATTATAAAATTTTAAACAATAAATAATAAAAGGTACAATAGGTGAAACTCCAAGTTATGCCAACGTGCTTGGAAAAGGAATAATAAAGATGAAGTCATATGAATTTTTGTTGAGTCTAGAAAAGAATATGCTAGTTTAATAGGTTATCACTGTTAATTTTATTCACTTTATTCCAAAATGAGCGTCACATAAATATGTATTAAAAACAATGTATTAAAAAGCATATGAAATAATTCAGAAAACATAAGCCTACTCTACCAATGATTTCTGTAAGTATTATTTTTGTTCTTTCAATATTCATATTGTCTCCTTGATAAAAAGTAAGATTCCATCCGGTGTCATTTCCGATGAATATTAAAATATTTTAAGATAGTTTAGATACTGTTCTTTGGATCTTTGAAATATCTGTGCTTTGATAATTATCTGACAATCACAATTATATAATGTGGTGTTCAGATTCCAAAAGTATGTTTTATAATTTTGGGTCTTTCAAATATTGTGTATAAATTTAAGATTCCATGTTGCAATAATTCTTAAACCTCACAGTTCACATATTTATCAAACATATACAGTCAAATTTCGCTTACCTTTAAATCCTAAGAACTTTAAATGAATTTGCTCAGATGAAGAATCAGAGCCAAAAATTCATTAAAATGATGATGCTCTTGAGTAGCACACAACTTAATATAAGAAAGAAAAGAAGGAGTAAATGTTGAAAGATGTTTGTTTTCCTAATGCTGCTTTCTCAATTTACCTTCCTAAAAATGTCCTGTGAGTATAAATTCCTCATGGGCATAATTATGAAACCATAAAAACAACTCAATGTTCTATGCATTGAAAACAGTCATTACCAGTCAATTATTAACTGACTAGTGGACTATAGCCTTTCCAAACTACAGTGAGTTGAACAGCATTAAAGCTAAAGATACTTTATGCCTTAGATATAAAGGTGAACACTAAACTTCTGACAACCAATACATTATTCTCCTGTAAAATGCTATCTTGATAGTCAATAAATCCTTTGCATGGAACAGGTATTTAACAGTTTCTGTTTTCATGCAGTGAAAAATTCACCTAAACCAATGATAGAGATAGTACATCTAAGTCTTTCTGAGAATGACATTGGGAGACTCAAGGAGGCAGTTGTGTCTGGCTCTTCTACAAACCAGTAAGTCATAGTATTCTGAACTGCATCTTTCATATTTCTGATCTCTATTACCCATCAAAACAGGAAATATTAAAAATGATGACTCCAGTTCTATATTATGATGCTCTTTGTAAACTGAATGTTCTTTGACTAACAGATTACATGTTTAACAAACCATAGAAACAAAAACAAGAAAACAATGAACACTTGATCAGAATACTCTTCTATTTCTAGAAAAAAATTTTCTTTATTAATTATACTTTATTCACTTTGTATCCCCCCTGTGGTTTCCTCCCTCTTCCCCTCTCAACCCCTCCCTTTCTTCCCCTTCTACACACATGGCCCTCCCCAAGTCCACTGGGAGGGGAGGTCCTTTTTTCCTCCCTTCTGATCCTAGTTTATTAGGTCTCATCAGGAGTGGCTGCATTGTCTTCTTCTGAGGTCTGATAAGCCTGCTCCCCCAACAGGGGGAGGTGATCAAAGAGCAGGCCAATCAGATTATGTCAGAGATAGTCTCTGTTCCTATTACTATGGAACCCACTTGGACCCTGAACTGCCATGGGCTACATCTGTGCAGGGGTCCTACGTTATCTCCATACATTGTCCTACTCGTAATGATTTTTTACACAAACACAAAAAATAATGCTAGAGAGGACAGAGAGGAAAATATCATTCATATACTTGTGGTTATGTGGGAAATATAAATTAATATGTTCATTATGGAAAACATGAAAGATATAATTGAAAAAGTAGCATTTTAAAGAGCTACCTACATTGATATGTTTGATAGAGTATCATTGATAGTAGTTTAAAAAAGGAATTAACCTAGATGTTCAACAAAATATAAAGAAAATTGTGTGTGTGTCTGTGTGTAGGTGTACAATGGAATATTATTAAGCTTTACAAAATAAATACTATCAGTTGTAGAAAATGAGTAGAAGATAATCGACTTGAATATGGAATAGTTGTAACTGGAGACTGGAAGAGTCTGGTAAACACAAGTGAAAAAGGATATTTAGATAACAGATATGGAAACACAAAAAGAAGAATTAAGTCCAGGTGTTCTGCAGTCCATTGGGTCTATAGTCCTTAGTATCTTATTACATCATTCATGAAGAGTTACAAAAGAAAAATAATAAGGATGAAAGAAAATGCTGTCTTTGTAACTGGATCAGGGAACAAACCATGCAATTATCAAAATAGTACTTCATTTTATTCCTATGAATAATTAACACATATTTTATTAATAATTAAACAATAATTGAAATTTTTTATCAACTTTTACTGATATGAAACACCATGATACATCAAGGCTAGATCGAAAGTATCATTCCTTGTTTTATGTAACAATACAATCCACTATTTGAATATATCTTATCTCCATTACTGTTTTTTCCTGTCAAATGCTAGCATTTGAGACATCTCCCATTTTCGATTATCTGTAGCTTTCATTCCCAGCTTATACACACTGACAGGTGTTTTCATTCATGAGTCTCTAATTTAAGGGCATCAGTTGATTTTTTTGATGAGCTTTTATTATTATTATCATTTATTACAATTTATTCATTTTTTATCCCGGCTGTGGCCCCCTCCCTAGTCTCCTCCCAATCCCACCCTCCCTCCCTCTTCTCCCCTATGACCCTCCCCTAGTCCACTGATAGGGGAGGTCCTCCTCCTCTTCCATCTGACCATAGCTTATTAGGTCTCATCAGGACTGGTTGCATTGTCTTCCTCTGTGGCCTGACAAAGTTGCATACCCCATGAGGAGGTGATCAGAGAGCCAGCCATTGATTTCATGTCAGAGACAGACCCTGCTCTCCTTACCAGTGAACCCACTTGAACACTGAGTCTATGGGCTACATCTGAGCCAGGGTTTTAGGTTGCTGTTACTGCGATAAAGCACAAGGACCAAAATCAGCTTAGGGAGAAAAGGGTGTATTTTCTTAGAGCTTGTAGTCCATTACCCAACTAAGTTAGAGTAGGAACTCAAGGCAGAAACCTGGAGAGAGAAACAAATGCATCCATCATATGCAGCAAAGTGCTGCTAATTGGGTTACTCCTGTGGCTTGCATAGACTGCTTTCTTAGAGCACTCAGGACCTCTAGCCCAAGGGTGGCACGACCTACACTGAGTTGGTTCACAAATCAAAATGCACCACACAGTTAAATCCACTGGGGGCTGTTTTCCTACTTGAGACTCTTCACAGGTTAGTCTGCTTAATTCCAGACTAACAACAGAACAACAACAAAAACAAAGGCAAAACCAACCGAGAGAGTCTGGTACATTACTTTCTTTATGGAGGGTCTCATGTACACCAATTTTCCATGGCTAATTTCAAGTACATGTTAAACATTTTACCACACTTTGGAGCCATAAATAATACCCAAATTATGAAAATTTAACAAAAATATTTTCAATCTCTTTGTTTCAATTTTTTTAGCAATATAAGGGAAACATTTTATTGTTTGGTAGGTAGATAAAAGGATATAGTCATTACACTGTTGTTTAAAAATTAAATGATTACAAAAAAATATAATTGACATTTCATATTCATAAAAATTGGGGTGTTGGTAATTCATTACTTCCTTGAGAATTATCCAGATTGAAAAAAATCTGTAAATGCCAGACTGCCCAGTCTCCTCTGCTTGACTCTATTATTAGTCTAATTATTCTGCAATTAATTCTTTGCTCAGAATTCAGTAAAATAAAATGTGTGCAATATAAATAATATAACTGACCTTGTACTTCTCAGAGAAATAAAGGATTGCCTTGTGGAAACACTTGTGTTCACAACAGTCTGAAATAGGTAGAATTTTTTAAATTTTTTTATTAATTACACTTTATTCATTTTGTATCCCCCCATAAGCCCCTCCCTCCTCCCCTCCCAATCCCACCCTTCCTCCCCTTTCTGCATGCATGCCACTCCCCAAGTCCATTGATAGGGGAGGTTCTCCAATCCTTTCTGATCTTAGTCTATCAGTTCTCATCAAAAGTGGCTGCATTGTCCTCTACTGTGGCCTGGTAAGGCTGCTCCCCCCTCAGGGGGAGGTGATCAAAGAGCAGGCCAATCAGTTTATGTCAGAGGCAGTCCCTCTTCCCATTACTATGTAACCCACTTGGACACTGAACTGCCATGGGCTACATCTGTGCAGGGGTTCTAGGTTATCTCCATGAATAGTCCTTGGTTGGAGTATGAATCTCTGGGAAGTTCCCTGTGTTCAAATTTTCTTGTTCTGTTGCTCTCCTTGTGGAGACCCTGTCCTCTCCAGCTCTTACTATTTCCCACTTCTTACCTAAAATTCCATTCACTCTGCCCAACCGTTGTCCATCAGGCTCAGCATCTGCTTTGATAATCTGCAGGGCAGAGGCTTTCAGAGGCCCTCTGGGGTAGGTTCCTTGTTTGTTTCCTGTTTTCTTCTTCTGGCTTTCAGAAGCACTCTGTAGAAGGTTCCTAGGTTGTTTCCTGTTTTCTTCTGCTTCTGATGTCCATTCTCTTTGCCTTTTAGGATGGGGATTGATCGTTTTAGTTAGGGTCCTCTTTCTTGCTTAGTTTCTTTAGATGCACAGATTTTAATGGGTTTGTCCTATGTTGTATGTCTATATGAGTGAGTATATACCGTGTGTGTCTTTTTGCTTCTGGGACAACTCACTCAGGATGATCCTTTCCAGGTCCCACCATTTACCTGCAAATTTCATGATTTTCTTATTTTTCATTGCTGAGTAATATTCCATTGTATAGATGTACCACAATTTCTGCATCCATTCTACAGTTGAGGGAAATCTGGGCTGTTTCCAGCTTCTGGCTATTACAAATAAAGCTGCTATAAACATGGCTGAGCAAATGTCCTTTTTGTGTACTTGAACCTCTTTTGGATATATGCCTAGGAGTGGTATGGCTGGATCTTGGGGAAGCGCTATTCCTAGTTGTCTGAGAAAGCACCAGATTGATTTCCAGAGTGGTTGTACAAGTTTACATTCCCACCAGCAGTGGAGAAGCGTTCCCCTTTCTCCACAACCTCTCCAGCATGTGTTGTCACTTGAGTTTTTCATCTTGGCCATTCTGATGGGTGTAAGGTGAAATCTCAGGGTTGTTTTGATTTGCATTTCCCTAATGGCTAATGAGGTTGAGCATTTCTTTAAGTGCTTCTCTGCCATTCAATATTCCTCTACAGAGAATTCTCTGTTTAGCTCCATTCCCCATTTTTTAAGTGGATTACTTGGTTTGCTGCTTTTCAGCTTGTTTAGTTCTTTATATATACTGGATGTGAGTCCTCTGGCAGATAAAGGGTTGGTGAAGATTTTTTCCCAATCTGTAGGCAGTCGCTTTGTTTTGATGACAGTGTCATTTGCTTTGCAGAAGCTTTTCAGTTTCATGAGGTCCCATTTATTGATTGTTGCTCTTAGAGCCTGTGCTGTTGGTGTTCTGTTCAGGAAGTTTTCTCCTGTACCCATGAGTTCTAGGGTATTCCCCATTTTTTTTCTAGCCAATTTAATGTGTCTGGTTTTATGTTGAGGTCTTTGATCCACTTGGACTTCAGTTTTGTGCAGGGTGATAAGTATGGATC